TAAAATTAGCCTTTCAGAAAAAAGTAGCGGCAGCCCGCCATGGGCGAGGCATCCCGACCTTTGTTTTTTTTTTTCGGGGGGGGGGGGGGTAGGGTGACAACAGGTCATGGCCTCCGCTTCGGCTTACAATTTTTTTTTTTTTTTTGAAGCTTACAAATTTCAGATCGTCAAAGGCAGGATTCGAACTCATGTTTTCTCTTTTTTTTTCTTTTTTTTTTTTTCTTTTTTCTTTTTTTTTCTTCTTTTGGGGGGGGGGCCGGAAATTGGGTCCAGCGTCCCTGTGTAGAACATTCGCTTATGATCTCTTTCTAAATAAGGGCGAGATCCCACTGGCAAAGAAGATTGGAATAAGTGTCTGAATCTGGATGTGTTTGTGGAGACGTGGAAAAGATTGTGATTGATCGACTGTTCTGCATCTCGGCGTGGAACACGTCCAGATTCAGACACTTATTCCAATCCTCTTTGCCAGTGGGAAGATTCGCTGTCTAGTGATGCTTATGTGCGAGCACCGCCGCCCACATGGGCGGATTCTCGGTGACACGTAGGAGGACGGCGGCGTCTGGCGGGGTCCATCCAATCTGCCCACCAGGCAAAGAGGAAGCTTCCGCCCGTCTTCCCCCGGTATTGCGCGTGTCTTCCGCCCGTCTTCCCCCGGTATTGCGCGCGTCTTTTGCCCATCTTCCCCGGGCATTTGCCCCGTCTTCGGGCGAGTTCCCACTTGCAAAGAGGATTGTAGTAAGTGTCTGAATGTGGACGTGTTTGAGGACAGGTGCAAAAGATTGTGGTTGATCTACTTTTCTGCATGTGTGTGTGGAACACGTCCAGATTCAGACACTTATTCCGATCCTCTTTGCCAGTGGGATCTGGCCCTTCCTCTCATCTTTCAGGTATGATTACCGTCGTTCCCTAAATAGAACGTTCGGTCATTATAGCTGTGCATATGGTGCACTTTTACGTCTAGATAAAGCGATAATGACGGTACGTTCATTTCCCCTTTTTTTGTGATTTATTGGTTCTGCCATGATGCCCAAGGATGATCCCTCTAGTGGGGTTGCACACAACACTGGGAAAGGACATATTTTTCCCCCCCTTCTTCTTTTTTTTTTTTTTTTTTTTTTTTTTTTTTTTTTGGGGGGGGGGGGGGGGGGGGGGGGGGGGGGGGGGGGGGGGGGGGGGGCAGATAGGCATACTGCTCTTTTATCAAATCTTTTTTCTTTTTCCTTCTTTTCTTGTACCCCTTTTTTCTCTTTTTTTTCTTTTTTTTCTTTTTTCTTTTTAGCACAAGGCATTACAACAGAGTAGCGGCAGCTAAATAATACGGACGGGATTCCCGGCCTTCCCCCCTTTTCTTTTTTTTTTTTCCAAAAAACTACACTCTGTTCTTCTCTCAAATTCTTTTTGCCTTTCACTACCTTCCTACCACTACTCCCACGACTATATAGAGGGGACCCCTGCAAGCATAGGGCCTCGCAAACGAGGTAATTCATATTGCCCCCCGCCCCAATTTCTTCTAATGAAATGCAAAGTTGGTTTGTAAATAATAATAATAATAATAATAATAATAATAATAATAATAATAATAATAATACGGACGACAAGGCAGACATAAACATATAGATATATATATCATATATCTAAAATAAAATTAGCCTTTCAGAAAAAAGTAGCGGCAGCCCGCCATGGGCGAGGCATCCCGACCTTTGTTTTTTTTTT